TGTGATGAGTAGGAGAACAGAAAACTACTCATCCAGTGACCAGTATATTTGCCCTCTACCAGACTCCTGTACCCCACTGGTCTGGGTCTGTCACACTACATTAGCACTGCAGTTTCACTTGGTTATGGGAGTCTTCTTTTCTTGTCCTGCTCCTGCTCCATCTGAGAGATGGCTGCTCTTCGGTGGTTGTTAGGTGATTCCTAAACTTGCAAACTGCCTTGAGACCCTTTGGGATGAAAAAAGTGTAATAACGATAATTGCTCATCCTTTTAATACAATGGCCACGTTTTCCTGTTGTTTCGGTGGGAAACATAACTGAATTTTCTTTCCCTGTGCATCCCACACGTGGGTACACATGCGCACCATGCGCCTGGGTCTGGAGATTTTTGGTAAGTAGTGTCCATTGGTCCGCACGCCTGTAGTTGTTTTCCTCATGCTCTGAACTGAGGGCATAAGGGGTGGGGTGTACCTGCACCTTTTCAATTCCTTCTTACCACTACATGGCCTGAGTTGGGATCTTCTGTGTCCACAGCTTCTTCCTTCAACAGCTTCAGTTTGTAAATATATTGTAAAGAATTGTAGTATTTTTTTCTTGTAGTCTTTTTGTCTGAAATACTGGTGTCGTTAGTTAGTTAGCTGTGTTTCCCTGCCCCGGGGAAATCCTCCCTCGGAGTTAGGATTATGCCCAGAGCTCTGGGGTTCAAATATTGCGTCTCCTGCCCCCATTCCTTTTCGGTGCGTGATGAACACCAGTGCTGCCCGCACTGCCTAGCCGAGGCTCACATCTTGGTTAAGTGCAGCATTTGCCGCTCCTTCCCTCGCGGCATGCATGAGGGTCGAGATTAGAGAACACCTGATGGAGAGGCCGTAAGATCCCAATCAGATCCAAGCTGGGGAGACCCCTGTACATCAGCCTCAATCAACAGGCGGTGCCCCTCTGAGCACAGGAGTCGAGGGCAAGACTTCCAAGCCATGCGAGTAAGGGGCACTCTTACCAGCTTAGCGACAAACCTTCTTCCAAAGCTGCACTGAGAAGAAGAGATCCCTCCCCGTCTCCTTCAAAGTCAGGAGAGTCCTTGCACTAGAGTCTTAAAGATTTAGGCCTAAAAAAACCTTCTGAGCAGGAGAAGTGGCACAAATGGATCTGTCAGTTTCGGTACCGGTTCCAAGGTGCAAATGGAAAGACATCCATCAGTTGCCACTCCTTCCAACATCCAGACAGACTCTGTGCTGAAGTTATCACAGCCCCAGAGGGATCCAACATCCATTGGGACCAGGGAAGCTCTGGATCCAACAGCTACACTGGCTGGTTCCCACGTACATTGGGGCAGTCTGAGGCCTATGTCTCTGTCACATCTTGGGGTGCATCCAGACCAATGAGGGGCTGTGTCACCGCCTGCCCTGTAACGCTGAGTGCCTCAAAATGCTGCGATGCTGCGATTCTCCTGTCTGCACACTTCCAGCCGGCGTAGAAGCATGCAGTCTGCCATATGTCTGTGTGCTGTGCAGCCCTGGTTCAGTGCTCTGACCCCAACAGCCTGCCTACAACACAACAGTCCCACTCTCATCTCCGTCACCCAGTGACTTTACACAGGCATGGCCCCAACACACTCCCAGTCCTGAACTTTCCCAGAACTGTGAGCTCTGCAACGTCCAGCCCTCTTCTACCATTCAGAGAGCCAGCAAGGTTCATTTGCTCCTCCAAAGCTTCCATACCCCGCAGCTTGCCACAGTAAATGGAGTTAACGTTCACTTTAAATCAAACCCAGCACTGGGTTGGTTTAGAGGAAAAGTGAAATAAGTTTATTAACAAAAGGAGATGGGATTTTAATTGAGTTCACACATAAAGGATAGAGTAAGAAATGGGTACAAGCAAATAAAAGTGAAAAATGCTTTCTAGAGGCTAAGACTTAAAACAAGCCACAGCCTTCGTGCAAGGCAGTTTCCTTACTGGCCTGCCTTCCAGCAATGGTTGACCAACTCTCTGGTCAGGATCTCCTACAAAGCCCAGAGTGCTCGGTTTCTTTGTCTTCTTAAGTGAAAGATACTGGGGGATGGGGGGTTGCTCCCCTCTTTGGTGAATCTTTTAAATGGATTCTTCAGATAGTTACACTTCTCAGTAAAGTTCAGTCAAGCTGTGAGGAAGCTGACATGGAGTCTCCTGGTAAAGGAAGTTTCATGCTGGTTTCTTCCTCTGCTGGTGTTTGCTAAACTGCAAATTGATCTGTTCCTGCAGTCTCCTTCCTCTGCTATCTTGATGGTCCTGGGTACTTCTATGTCATTTGCATTCCCATTTTCTCTGGAAATCCCATATTTCTTTATCTAGGGTAGAGTAACTTCAGCCCTACCTGGCAGAGGCATTTTGGTAACATCATTCCCAACATGTTTGTAAGTTTGAATTTGCTCTCCATACATACACCACACAATAATATTAATGATCAGTGT